CATGTGTTTGTGTGAAGGCATCTTCTGGAATGGTCATGTGTTTGTGTGAAGGCATCTTCTGGAATGGTCATGTGTTTGTGTGAAGGCATCTTCTGGAATGGTCATGTGTTTATGTGAAGGCATCTTCTGGAATGGTCATGTGTTTGTGTGAAGGCATCTTCAAAAGGATCGAAAATGTTTCTCATAAGCAAATAGTTTGTTATGGATATCGTGCAAAGCTACACGAGGACTATCTGCGCTAGCCGTCCCTAATTTAGCAGAGTAAGACTAGAGGGAAGGCAGCTAGTCATCACCATCCACCGCCAACTCTTGGGCCACTCTTTTACCAGCGAATAGTGGGATTGATCGTCATATTATAACGCCCCCATGGCTGAAAGGGCGATCATGCTTGGTGTGACGGGGATTCGAACTCGCGACCCACAGATTGCGAGTCGTGCGCCCTAACCACCTGGCCATGCCGGGCCACAAGCAAATAGAGAGGCCATTCTGTTCAGTATAGTGGTGAATAAATCACATTGCACTAAGAGGTAGTTAAATTGGAACTATTTATCAGAGAAAAATAAAATAAGCGGCTTACACTTTGATGGAGTATGTGATGGTTATGAGCACATTTAAGATTCAATGTTCACAAAATGTTAGGTTATCAATGGGTCTGTGTAAACGTTGCAGTTTCAAGAAAATTGTCAGTATAATCACATTCTTTCGTCCTCTGAATTCTTAAGTTTGATGAGGCTTTCTATCAGACATAACGATTAGATCTGAATAAGCTCTTTACTTATATTTTGCTATATATATATATATTTGTATAGGACAAAATTTATTTCTCTTCGAGGAAAAGAAAACGTGTGGTTTACCAAAATGATTCATTCAACAGTAAATAACATTAAATAAAAAGTATGAGCACAAAGGCGCCGAAACGTTACATAATTGTATTTAACAATATTAAGTTTGTCGTCACCAGGTGGCAGGCCTGTCGCAGCATAACAGCGTGGCGTTCAAGCATGAGAAAACGAAATGCAAGCATAGAGATCTCTAGGGTGCGAGTTCTATCACTGCGACCTCTGCCGTACTAGAAACGATAGATGTGTTGAGGTTTAACACATATATGGTAACTCGATACCATCAGTAGAGTAAAGATTCGGCGCCGTTGCGTTGACCGTTTTTCTTTTATGATGTTTACTTTTTTAGATGAATAATTTTGATACACTAATATATGTTGAGCATTCTCCACGTGTGTTGTGGGATTATGGAAGAAAGACTTTGTTGAATTAAACGTTTCTGTTTCGGGTAGTGTGAGACACTATCTTTATAGAATCATTTCTAATGTGAATCTTTGTTTAAAGCTATCTTTAAAGGATATTTATGATACATTATTAAAAGAATTATCTTTAAGTTGAGCTTCAAAGGACAATTTTTTAAGGAGATATTCCTCGTGCAAGATTTAAGAAGATCTGTCTCTCAACCTAAGCAGATATTCCTGATGTTGGTACAGGCCTATCTTTAACCAAGCATTTCCTATAAGGCATTTGTGGAGAAATGTCTTAATGAAGACAATTCTAATCTGAGACCTGCCGACTATTAACTTTAAGGAAATATTTCTGATGCGGGATCCTTGGAGTATTTACCTTTAAACAGACACTATTGATGCAAAAACTGACATTCCTGTAAAGGAATCCTTGAAGTATAATCTTTAATAAGATATTATTGACGCGTAAGTCAGACATTTCTTGTAGGTATACAATATTGGAAACAATTATGGAACCATTGAATATGATGAGTATAAAATACAAATGTTATGATATTGCCCCCCCCCCTATTGTATGCTAATGAAATGCACCAGAGTATACTCACATGTTGACAGTTAATGTTTTGATTGTGACACAACAGTATAATGCATATAAGAATACGGACAGTCATAGTTTTCCCAGCAGAAGTGTGGTGAATGCACTCATGGTTCCAATAACAAAAATGCCACCTGAAAAGAAACTGTATGAATCAAAGTTTGGCCTAGTGAAGGCTGATTCATGCAATAGATTGAGGTGGAAGTTAATGTTTCAGTAGGATCGGTATAAAAACTCAAGAAATTATGTAAAAGTAAAAAGCCTAAACTCTTCAAAAGTGACGTTAAATAACTCAGAGCATAATCTTTACATGATACATGACAATCCAGTAGAGATCTTGCAAATGACCTAGTGATAAGTACAGATGTGGACATTACCTTCAGAGCAATAAGATATAAATTAAAATGAAGCAGTCTCAGTGCATGTGTGTCTTAAAGGCGTAAATTGGATGAGTAAAGCTGGAGAAGAATACTCTTTACAGATGAATTCAATTTCAAATTTTGGGGGAACAATAAAAAATAGTTTGTTCAATAGAAGAGAGGAGAACCCGTATGACGATCAGCGTACATCAGTTATAGTGACAAATATAAGTGTCGGCTGCATCTCAGCCTATGGTGTGGAGATCTACACAAAATTAATAGCACCCTGACTGCCGACAGGTACAAGCAGATTTTTATCTACCATGTTATTTCTTTAGGAATAAGACACGTTGGGCAAGACAGCGATCCCAATCATGCAGCAAATATGGTGAAACGGCAGCTAGAAGGGAAAAAAAGCAGAATGAGCACTTTAAACCATGGCATAGCTTGCACAAAGCCTCGATATGAATATTATTAAGGCTTTATGGGTTTGTACGGTAACTGATAAGATCAAACGGTAACTAAACAACTAGGCTGAATAGTGGAAAGTAATACAGAACATTTGGGAAAATATCTTACAATCATACATTGACAAATTTATATTAGCATAAAAACAAGATGTTGCTTGGTCGACTGTTGTTAATCACAAAACTTCACAATGAGTTATTTGTGCTCACCAAGGGTATCGAAACCCGATTTTTAACGACATAAGCCCTCTAAATTATCGCTGAACCACTGTGTGGCGAAACAAAGTGTACTGCTTTGTTTAAAGCAAATACAGATTACTTGATGACGTTTATATTTTCTGTAATAATGTATCGTACTAACGATAAATTGGCCATTTGGTTGCAATTACTCAATTTATGTCTTCTTTATACGTATGATATGTGTGTTTCTATAATTAGTTCCAACAGTTGGATTACCTGCATCCTGTCCACCGCGGGGAATCGAACACCGTATTTTTGCGTTATAAGTCTGTAGACTTACCACTGATCCACCAGGAGAGAATTACGGTAGTGTATATAGTCATGTCACGGTTCTTTTTTTTTGTGAGTAGTGAATATTCTTTGTGTTCATAATAGTTTTTGGCAGATCAGACCTAGTGAAAAAAAAAATGTCTGAAGATAGTCCAAATGTTACTAAACGTTACTGTACACAGCCCCACATGTTTAACTTGACATAATAGGCTTATGAATTTGCAACAAAATAGACAAGAAAGACGAATGATTTATTTTATTGTTATTTTTTTAAATATACGTTACTGTTACAAAGTATTTAATGCCTTGTTTGATAATGAAGTTAACGTAGTGTGATAAGAAATACGAAGAGAAACAATAAAACTGCAAGTATACATACACATATACGTATTTAGAACTTCTTTTGAGAACTGTACCAATCGCGATTCACGTATATTAACTACATAAGTGTAAAAATGCAGGAAGAGCGCCAATCAGCATGCTCGTTTCATCTAACGTGTTTGACTAGATAGCTGTAGCTTAGTAAAAGGTACGAACATTCTGATCGCGGTATACACCGAGCAACCACAATGTTTCTGTGTGCCATCTTGATTTGGGCAACTAGAATAACCGTTGTCATGGTGACCGTGAGTGGATAGGTTAAGAGCAAACACGAAAAGCTTGGGCAGAAGGATAGTCGTTCCCTTTACATGCAGCAACCTCCGGTCTCCGTGTCCAGTCAGGGGGCTGGTCAATTCCCCTTTCTCTATAATGGTTGTGTATTATTTCCTCGGTTGAGCCCATACGTGCATGGGCTGTCTCTGATGCAGCCTTACAATGTACAATATCCCGTGGCAACCCCATCCCAGTTTGGGTTTTGGGGTATCCAGTCGAAGTCTTCTACTAAATATCATACCATAACAGACAGTAGAGCCGTCATCAACATTAGACATGAACCACCCGTGTTGACTCCCCAACTTCAACCGAAATACAAATCAACGCTTCATTCTCCAGAGCCGGCGGGGTCCGAGTCGTGTAGCCCTCTCCTCGTTTCTTGCCCGTCCACCCCAGAGAGATACATAGATCATCCAAGTAGTTATGAGGATAGCAGGAATTACACAGGTAAAAATTCGTATGTTGAAAAAAAAAAGAAACTATAAACTTGAAATTTTGAATAAAAGAACAGACAAATAGAAAGAAACGTGTTTAATCTACTATATATATATATATATAACTGACCTTATAACAATTAATGCAAGCGATTTATTTATAACGTTTAGCCTTGCGGTGCTTTTTCTAAACAACAGCTCGTGAGCAAAGCTTTACCGTTTCGTATTAAAGATGAGTTGTTGTTGTTTTTTCATAAATATGCAAAATACAAACAGAACAGAAAATACTTGGGAGTTTGTTCTATATGCTATGAAATGTTACTATTTCTACATTTGTAACAAACATGAGTGACAGAGCGAGGACTTGAAAACAGTGTCGAATGAACGTGTATTCAAAGTGAAATGAAACCACATTTTAATTTCTAGAAGGAGCACTTCGTCTCGTCTATGTTTAACGTCAATTAGAAAACATCTTTTAATAAAAATGTTTGCTGTTAACCGCAAAGCTACACAAGGGGCTATCTGTGCTCTGCCCACCACAGGTATCGAAACCCGATTTTTGTCGCTGATCTGTTACTTGAGGACACATCTTTCAGCACTAGCCTAAAGAATGCCATCTACACGAGTTTATAGCTTTATCGTCTTATGAAAAAGTAACTGAGAAAATGTTTTCTGGATAAGACAATAACACTTCTAATTTTAATATTCGTAACGTTATCTTTGATTATTATTATTGTTATTGTTTAAATAATAGATTATTTATTATAATATATATATATGTGTATATATATATACACACACACACAACCAAACCATCAATAAGATTCACATGTGGATACGAATAACAAAACACTGGAATATCAGACTATTTTTTATTTCCTTTATTAATTTCGTCAACGGGTTTCGTGACCTTAAAGGTCATTCTTCAAGATATAATGTTATTGAAAATTTATAACAAAAACATTCAAATACCGTTTTTCAACTAAGCATAAATAAACTAAGTTAATTACATAAATTTTCCAAATGTACAAACATACAGTACATTCCATGTATAAACTAAGTATATTAAGAATGCTCAAAAATATATAAAAATTCTTAAAGTTTATCCGATATACTTTACTTTTTAAATTAAAATCTTATTCTAATTATACTTGTTTTTATTATTATAGAAATACAATATATTTATTCTATAATTTCGTCCCTCCTATTTACTTTGTTGTATTTTCTGTAAGTTTTAGTAACAGTTTCCATGGTTTCACAATTCCTACTGACTTTACACAACCAGTTACTTCTGCCCTCTAACATCTATATATTTAATGTGGCGCCAAAAAAATTGTAAAATATTTTTCGAAAAATAATCTTTTTTGTTTTATATTACATGTTGAAGAGGGAAAACGTGAAAATGTGGTTCCTTTACACATTTATTTATTTATTTTCAAAACACATTTATAAAACATGTCTACTGGCATGAAGTGGGTTTTCTTCAGGACATCTAACGTGGAATTTATTCATGATGACGAGGAATTGACTAGAAGAAATGTATAGACTCGTACAACGTAACGTCAACCAAATCAACACGGAATATAAGTAAATTTAGCTTTACTCTTAAATTATCAGTTTCACCAATATATAATTCACCACAACTTACACATTCTAAAAGATGCATTACGTTCTTCGGATTGGAATTAAATGATTTATTAAGGAAAATCGAAACTTCTTTATTGTTTTGGTAATTTTCATGTAACCTAAATTACATAAGGCACAGTTCTTTCTTTCACAACAGAAAATACCTCTTTTTAGAAAAAAATTCTTTCTTTATTCAATAATGTATAAAACTTTTTGGACTGTCTTCTTGATTTTTGTTTGTAATTAAGCACAAAGATACACAATGGGCTATCTGTGCTCTGCCCACCACGGGTATCAAAACGCGGTTTCTAGCGTTGTAAGTCCGCAGACATTCCGCTGTGCCACTGGGGGGGGGGGGTTGTCTTCTCGATAAGATAATTATATTTTATTATCTTTGAATACATTTTCATTTTTTTTATCTAATATTTGTTTTAATTGTGTATTAACAAATGAAATTTTAATATGTATGTTGAACAATGAGTCACAAGGTATAATAGTTTCTTTAGGTTCACTTATCTCTCTCTCTCTTTAAATGTTTTTTCATTAAACAATATCATTCTTGCTTGGAGAATTTTGATATTTTATCAGATATCTAATTTCTTTCAAATAAATGTTTTCTACGTCCATGTACTTACTCTGTTAACAACATATTTTGCAGCGAGTAAGTTACAGCTTCAAGAAACGAAATATGACGTCATCCTCCAACAGAACGTATAACAAAGATAATGTTTTTATTTAACTCGGATAATAGTTTAAGTACACTTAAAACCAAGGTCTACTAATAGTGCATTTAAAAAAGCTTCAAACGATGAAGGACAAAAGGACGTACAGAATACATACCTGTGATCTTTTCCCAGTAATGTTTATTTAGTCTGAGCGAACTAACTACACGTTGATCGTCTCAGTTTTCAGTCCTACAACAAAACTACTTTCGAAGACTACCACCGAGGACTAATATGGTTTACAATCGATTCACAATAAATAAAACTACATAATGATAAATTATTGTGTTGAATAATGTTTATCTAAACATATCCTATAAAATTAACCAGATGAAACGGATGTAAAGAATAAATGTAACACTGCAATAAAGAACTAACTTGCATTCAGCCTCTTGTCATACTGTAGTTGTAATCACAATGCCAAAATAATTTTATTGGTATAGACGCACAATGGACATTATTGTTTTTATTCATTATTCTCTGATCAGACCGCGTTGTAGTGTAAACTATGCAATATATATTTACTATGAATTTAATCATTAAATTATTATACTAAACAACACCTCAAAACACATAGTTAAAGCTATATATTAAGGCAAAATTAGTATATACCTATATTGTTGTTAGCGCAAAATTGCTCAACGGGGTAGTAGCTATCGCGGGAATCGAACCACAAGCTTTAGCGTTGTTAGCCCTAAAGATTCCTCTGATTCACTGGGGGACATATAATTATATATATATTGTTGTTGTTGCACCAGTGGAACTAATAATTGTGCGTTTACTTGAAATAAAAATTATTTCAAGGACACGAAGAACCGTAAATAGTAACAACGGCTATTTTTAGGTCAGGCATGGCCAGGTGGTTAGGACACTCGACTCGTAATCTGCGGGTGGCGGGTTCGAATCCCCATCCCACCAAACATGCTCGCCCTTTCAGCCGTTGGGGCATCATAATGTAACATTCAGTCCCACTATTCGTTGGTAAAAGAGTAGTCCAAGAGTTGGCGGTGGGTGGTGATGACGAGCTGCCATCCCTCTAGTCTTACACTACTAAATTGGAGACGGCTAGCGCAGATAGCCCTTGTGTAGCTTTGCGCGAAATTCAAACCAAGCTTGGTAGACATTTTACGCCACTATAGACTTATCTTGTACTTCTCGCTATTACAGAGTGTTTCGCAAAATGTTTAAAGATTCTAATTAGATGGGTTTCTGCATTTACTTTCAAATAATACGTTTATATTGGTTTTACATACTTTTATTGAAACAATTATATATGCTCTTGAAAAGGAATGAAAAACTTAAAGATCTTAATAAGTAGGTTCCCGTGTATGATGCTCACGCTGCTTGTTTCTCTATTTTGTTTTGTACTTTGCTAATGCATGTAAAGCTTCGCTTCTAAACGCTTATGTTGAACGTTTTTACCCCCATTTCACCAGTTTCTACCCCATGGATGATGTCCAACCAGTTGCTTACCACACCTCAAAAGCCTGGTGCTTCTGACCGTCTAAGGCTGACCGATGACAGTCTTCTTAAGCAGCAGTCATATAGCTCCGAAGTTGATGAAAATGGTCGATATTGTATATCCAATGGGAAACAACGCCGAAGACGAACAGCTTTTACGAGTGAGCAGTTACTACAACTGGAAAAAGAATTTTACGCCAAGAAATATCTATCACTCACCGAGCGATCGCAGATCGCCAGATCACTTCAACTCAGTGAAGTTCAGGTGAAAATTTGGTTTCAGAACAGACGTGCCAAATGGAAGAGAGTTAAAGCTGGAGTTGCGTCAGGACGTTCAGTGTCTAACCGTGACGTCACAAAAATCGTAGTACCCATCCCAGTACATGTAAACCGAATGGCGATCCGAAGCCAATATCAACAGCTAGAGAAGTCCGCGACGAGGTAAGAAATTTTGAAAAACAATTGACATTGTGTTTAAGAAATGACTGTTTTACTGGATAGGTTAACAGTATATACCGTAAATGAATCTTCAACCAAACGAATGGTAACTTACTTAAAGCGAATCTTTTACTGGACTAACGGTATATTATATAGAGTAAATATTTTACTGGACTAACGGTATAATAAATGAATATTTTACGAGTTTAACACTATATTATTTAGAGGGTAGTATATTATATAGATTAAAACGTTTACTGGATTAACGGTATATTATATAGATTGAAACTTTTACTGGACTAGGAGTATATTATATAGATTGAAACTGTGACTGGATTAACAGTATATTATACAGATTGAAACTTTTACTGGACTAACAGTATGCTATATAGATAGAAACTTCTACTGAATTTCTATCAATATCGACAACTCAATTTAATCTATAATGTAATTTTTCCATCGACTTTATGACACTATTCTGACTTCTGTGACCCTTATGAATTTTTTCGTTTTTTCGTTTTATGTATGCAGCGCCGTGATGTGTCTTAGTAACGTATCGTTCATTAATCATAACGATCTAATCTCTCTAATATAGCCAGGTTTTTCCAAAGATATTAACATTTTTGAGTGTTTAATCAACAGGAACGGAACAACAATATACGTGTTTTTTATGTGAACGCCTCGGACAGTTTTTTTCTCTGTCTTTTTTTTTTTTTTTTCACAGCATGAAAAATCGTAGAGAGTCATCAGCTATGGAAGATCACAAACATTCCTGATTGGCTGACCGAGATAAACTATTGTAGAACGAAGAGTTTACAACAGTTTCACTGGATATGCTATGACCTTTTGTTTGTCCTCTTATTTCACCTTCATGTACTAAAATAGATCCACATTTTGAACAATCCTTGATCAGACAAACTACAACTTTTAGATAACTCCACAATTTTGTCGGGACTCAAAAATGTGTTTTGTTTCAATATCCTAACAAAACTGGCTTCGATGAAAGTGCTGATACACGCTCTAAACTGCAAATTTTGATATTTTATTAGATAAACAACAGCAGATTTGCCATGTTTGGCGCCTTTATTGTCAAATAATTTCAATCCGGAAGATGATTTTGTTATTTTTTACCAGAGCCAGTATTCTAATGAGGTCAAACTTGGGTTTAAAGCTATATCTTCCAGTTATATATGTGTGAGTGTGTGTGTGTGTGTCAGTGAGTGAAGGAAGCCAAAAAAAAAACAAGGACCAGGACCTTGATGTCTTCATGACTAGTTACGATCATGTCTTTGACCTTCAATTATAATCCTATTCCTGAATGTTAAACGCAATACATGTCTCATATTTGATAACCATACGATTTTCTGTTCTTTAAGTGTTCTAGAAAAAGCGTAACAATAAATATCGCTTAAAAAAACACCAGGCGTTGAATAACCCAATTGGGAGGAATTAACCTGTCGGGTTGTAAAATAAGATTTTTCATTATTGCACAATCAGCCAGTTTAGATTTTAATGTAAAGTAGCACAACTTGACCCAAACTAAAAGAGAGCTATGTTAACATGGTCTGCGTGATGTGTCGTGTGCTATGATTGGTTTCGAAAAGATATGCCCAACAGTTTTAGTCGTGAGTATCACACCCAAGATGCACATTAACAACATAGAAGCGTTGTTGTGAAAATATTACGTTCCTCTTAGACAAATAGAATGTATTTTTTCATAAAGACAAAAATTACAGTTTCTAAACTGTGCATTAAATCAGACGTTCTCAAACTTTTTCCGCATTAGGCTAACAGAACATTCCCCATTGGTTAGGCTTATCACCCAATGAATTCCATTAGGCCACCAGAACATTTCCTATCGGTCAGTCTCCCCACCCAATAAATTCATAGATGATGAGTACCTTAAGTGTACTGTGTATTTTGAGTACTTACTACGCCCCCTTACACTTTTTTTGCAGCCCACAGTTTCGAAATCCCTGCGTTAGATAACTTAAAATTGCATGTCAGCCCATTAGAAATGCACAATACGTAATGAAGTGCAAATTAATAAATGCCCTGCTGTGGTTAGGGCACTCGACTCGAAATCTGAGGGCCGAGGGTTCGAATCCCCATCACCATACATGCTCACCCTTTCAGCTGGGGGGGGGGGGTATAATGATACAGTCAATCCCACTATTCGTTGGTAAAAAGAGTAGCCCAAGAGTTGGCGGTGGGTGATGTTGAGTACCTAGCTAGCTGCCTTCCCTCCGGACTATCACTCTTAAATTAGGCACGACTCGAGTAGCTTTGTGCGAAATTTTATTTTTGTTTCCAACCACTTCTGTGAATAAGTCATGCGGGATCAACAAAGTTACAGCTGTAGTATTAATACACTCAGTGTGAGGCTCTGTATATGGAAAAAATGTTTCATTGATCCGAATCAGAAATCTTCCAAGTTGAAAGAACTAGTGTAAAAAAAATCGACTCTTTTTACACGTGTATGAAACGTGCATTTCGTTTGACTTGGGTGGTTAAAGCGCTTGACTCGCAATCCGAGGGTCGTGGGTTCGAATTCCCATCCCGCCAAACATGTTCGCCCTTTATATTAATTAGAAAACATTATGTCACAGAAATCACTCAATGAGAAAGTTATTTCAGCGTGTAATTGGTATAGTAATTGATTAAAAAGATTGTGCCATAAAAATATGTCAATGATCTATCAAGAAATATTTAGGAAGTAATAACAAAATTAGCAGGCCTCTCACGAACCAGTGGGAGACATTTTTGTTGGAAAAAAAAAAAGACTACATAATCCGGTTTTTCTTAATTTTAACGAAATTATTTGGATATTTTTATTGGCTAGAAATAAGTCATTTCCCGTGTTCTTTAAGAATTTGTGCTGCGAAAAGTGATTTGATTTGGTAAGGTGACTGAAATCCGTCAGCGCATCACGAGCTTAACAGCCAAGCACAAGAAGCATGGAAGTTTCCAAATGACATGCAGAGGTATTCAGGATCCGTTTAGAATTACCTTGGTAGGTATTGTGCAGCAAGCTGAGTACAATATTATGCCTGTAGCTGCTTTCAAAGTGTTCCTGGCTGCTCATCCTACTGCTGACTATCGTGATGCTTCGACCTTCCCTACCGAATCGCAGATAAAATTGTTCGTATCTCAACTGAAAGCTAAGGATAAAAAAGGTGATAGCAGAAACATAAAAGGTTGGTAATTACTTAATTAATGATGCTGAGAATGTGGCTTTATTGATATATACTGAATTTAGTCCCAGCGGGTAGACCTTAGTACTCGCTGGTATGAAGACTTGAGGATGCTGTATATCACTTAAATATTTATCAAATAACAAAAGAAAACTTGTCTCGAAAAGATACGTCCAAAACCACCTTCTTTGGGAGTTTCCGGGTTAAACTTACTTTTAATATTCAACATATTGTAGTGTAAAGTCACCCCTTGGCTCCTGAGGGACGTTTGAAAAGAGACTGTCCGATGATCAAAAAGTTATTTTTAGTGTGTAATTAAAATAAGCTTAGTTTAGCTACTTGCTCATTATTCGTTCAATATTAGCATTTAGCAGCTACTTAACACATCTCTCTTTCAGTTAAGTAAAAAAATATAGAATTTTGGAATTTGTCTCTGTTCCCAAAATAAATTGATTTTGACACTGACATCGATGCATCTATGACTCTAAGCTCCCTCCCTGGAGGCTCAGCCGTAGCTCTGAGGCTAATAACATCTGGTTTCGATACCTGCAATGGATAAAACATAGATAGCCTATGGTGTAGCTTTGCGCTTAACAACGAAATAAATACTCTAAGATTTCTACTTCAGCTGTTTCGTGCTTTTCTAATAAAGAATAGCTATTTATTTGATCATTTTTATAAGCTACTTTCATCTTTTCAGACCAAAGTTTTATATATATTAATTCCTTTATATTGAACATTGCCTGTTGCTGGTAGCTAGTAATACATGTAAACATGTTTAATAAAGGCACGGACTGGGCGTTGCTTAGCAGTTAGCGTGCTCGGACTGTTAATCTGAGGAATCATGGTTCGTGTCCGTTGCGGCGAAAACACGCTTCACACTGTGAGGCTGTGAATAAATTATAACAGTGATACGAAATCCTACTATTCTGTAATAATTGCCCAAGAGTTAGCTGTGAGTAATGTTGACTAGCTGCCTTCCCTCTGAAATATCACTTCCAAATTAGAGGCAGCTAGTGCATAGTGCAAGTAGCCTTTGCGTAGCTTTGCGTGAATATCCGAAATAACAACCAAATACACACAGACCCTCTCCGTGATGACGTTAGGCATTCCAACGAACATTTCTTGTTGTTTTTTTTTCATTGGTTGAACCTGTCATGTGACTTATCTATCGTTCAGATCATCGTGTAAAAACTTACCTTTACCCTTGTTCATCAGTTGTTGTTGTTTTTTTTTCATTGGTTGAACCTGTCATGTGACTTATCTATCGTTCAGATCATCGTGTAAAAACTTACCTTTACCCTTGTTCATCAGTTGTTGTTGTTTTTTTTTCATTGGTTGAACCTGTCATGTGACTTATCTATCGTT